CGGGGGGGGGGGGGGGGGGGGGCAGGTAAATAAGCATCCTAGTTTTGGGGTGGTTTTTTTATTAACAAACTGGATAATTTTAAGACCAATGATACAACTTTTATCACTCTCTAAACAAGCACTGACACTCAAGATTCATGGTTCAGAGCATGAGTTACTCTCTGCGGCCAAGCAGAATGGTATTTCTCAGCACTTAAGTACTGTTTTGCCCATCTGGGTACATTTCCCTGGCCTGCATAATCTGCTGTGACATAGCGGGCCTTGGTCCCTGCCAGAGACAGGATAACAGACTTGATGGACCAGCACGCTGTTGCAACAAATTCTACATAATTATTCTGTGTAGATTAAACTGGTTTTGTAGAATCAGATGGATCGTATTTGTTCAGCGCGGGAATGGTAAGTTATCCATGCTCGAAGACTGTTTCTGCTTAAGGCAGAATTCTCTGCTCTGAGGTTTGTAGCTTTAGTTCTATTTCCTGCCAGGCTTAGATTAATCAAAGATCAAAAGCAACCATACACTTTTTCTCCTTTTTTGGATTAAGGATGAAGAACAACTTCCTGGCTTCTCAAATTAAAAGCAGGAAAAATAGCCTTGTTAAGCAAAGATTCCACAATTAAGCCAACAGATTTGAGTCCCTTGAGTACCGACTGTCTGTTTAATAATTATTCTTATGCCTGTCTGAACCAATTTAAGTGCTGTGAGATTATTAAAACCTGATATGCAGTATTAATTTTTTCCCTTCACGATTTGCTTGTTTGAAACTATCATTCCTGGCACTGCCCTGAATTTTTTTTAATTTTAATACTTTATCTTTGGCAATGACTTAAAGTTACAATTCTAATTACTTAAAGGCTTTATTTCACTTTAGAGACATCGAGCTGTCTCTGCTGTTCAGAAGGCTCCTGTGCAGACCGTGCCAATTGCACATCCTGCCCAGCAGGTCACTACCAGCCTCTAGCTGGACAACAGATCTGTTTGCCTTGCCCACAGGGATATTACACTAAGTAAGTACCTAGACCATTGTTGGGATTGGGATTGTATTTGTGGAACCAAACTGTATCTTAAAACCATTAGTTAATACATTTTGAAGAATGTAGAACTAATTTTTCCCCACCCCAGTGACAGAAGGAAACTGTTGAAGAGGCTTTCCAATAGCAGAAGATACAGGATTATACTAACTCAAAAAACTAAGTGTACAAAGGCTCTCAGACTCCAGCTCCTTTTCCGAGATGCCCATTTTGAATTCTCCATGCATTAGGAGGAAGTAAGGTTTTATGACTAAAGAAACAAGATTAGCAAGTAGGAAATATGGGTTTCTCTGTTCAGCTCTGCCAAAAATTTCCTACAGAGTAAATTAAGCAAGTAATTAAATGTCTTCTGCACCTTTGTATTTTCATCCCATATTTCAATGCTTCAGGGGGCCATTATGAAGCTTTATTCATTAATGACTGTGAGATGCAGTGAATCACACCATGAAAATGCCTCCAAATAAATTTCCTCAAAGACTTTCTGGTTTCAGTGGAATTTGTGGGGTAGCCAAATCAAAAATACACTCTTGACCTGGCTGCAGCTATAACTTCTCTACTCTCATCCATTCCCATGTTAGTTTTGTGTACTTTGCATGTCTTTAATTGGATCATTAACATTTTTATTCGTTGTATTTGAAAATACCACACTCCCCCTGAGCTTTGAGACAACTCTAGCTGATACAGGCCCAGCTTAAATATTCATGCTTTCTTTTCTGTCTTCCACAAATCTCACCCAATCTATCAGTTTTCAAAAGGAGCTAAAAAGCCTGACCTTATCTTTCTCCAAAGTGTCCCTTATGGTAGCTATTTTATATACAGCTATTTGAAATGGATACAACAGGTCCTTTTCCTCTGTCCTGGAGACTTAACTTATTGCATCTGTCTCCACCTCCTATTTATATACTGTATATTTTTAGACGTGTGTGGCTACAGCTTAGGACTTGGTGCAGACTCCTAGAATCATAGAAAAATAGGACTGGGAGGCACCTCCAGAGGTCCAACCCCCTCAGCAGAGGCAGGATCACCCCTATGCAAACTATCATATCCAAATTCATTATCTAACCCAGTGGTTTCTAAACTTTGACAAATTGTGCACCACCAATTTAAAACAATACAACCTTAAGTACCACCAGCAAATTTTTGTCATATAAAGTAATTCTAATAAATCTGTTAATGTGTACCACTGACAGGTTGTCCATGTACCACTAGTGGTAACTGTACCACAGATTGGGAACCACTGATCTAACCCTTCTTAGTCAACCCTGACACAATCCCAAGACATAGTATCCTAACCTGCCACAGGTAAAACAGGGGGACAAAGACAACACCCAGCAGCTCCCACTGGGATCGAATTTAGATATCAAATGCTTGAAGCCCAACTTTAAGTGGCGTGGTTTGAAACTCTTGGCTTACACTTTTTGAAGATGGGACTTTATCATTTGGTCTCCTCTGCCTTTCTATTAAGCTTGTAGTGAACTGTGGGAAACATATATCATTAGTATAGAGCACTCCATTTCTTTGCAGAGCAGTTCAAGCTCCAGGTAGTTCTGGTTGTTTTTGCTGAACTGATTTCTGGATTTCATAGGGATAAAGCAGGTACAAGCAAACAATGTCTTTGAGCTCCAAAGCCTTCTCTCAAGCAACTCACATCAGGTCTTTCTCCTCATGACAAACATATAAAGCTGAGCTAAACCCTATTCTTCTCTCTTTATAGTTTTACACAAAGTACTGCGTGTCTCCCCTGTCAGCCTGGCTTTTATTCCAATGAGTCGGGGGCATCAGCTTGCCGCATGTGTGGAAAAGGTATGCTTGGACTTTCTGACTTCAACACAAACATGTGGTGTGATATCGCAGAACATAGAGGGATGGATTACTTAAGAGAAAAGTAACTGTCAATGATCATTTATTTTTTTGTTTTGAAAAAAGTAATCCAATCCCTTTCCATTCCTTTTTTTCTGGCTGTTTATTTTTTATATAGAAACTACAACCGAACCACATAATAAATTACTCTTTTTACATATAACAATGTGTACAGTGTCACCTTGGGAACGTATTCCACAAGAGTTGGGAAAAAAGCTTCCCTATAATTCAGAGAGCACTTTAAAAAAAATGTTTTTTTTGTGTTTTTTTGGAGTTTTTTTAACAATGGAAAGACTTTTTAAAAAGTGAGGAGAATATCATGCCAAATCATTTTCTTACCCCCATTCACTGGTCATTATCGGCTGGATTTTCAGAACGCGTGAGTGTGCACGTTTGCACGGCGTGCAACAAACGTAGGCATGGTAACAGCAACAGTAACAACAATGATGATGATATAAAGAAGATATTATATAAATAAAATATAAAGATATATTTCCAATTTGAAGATAATGGTGATGGTGACCGTAGTGCCCTAGAATCCTAGCCTGTGTGAAACACCTACTGGGCATTTGTTCCTGCAAATACTCAATGAATACATGCAATGTGTTGCTTATTTATGCAAAAAGGGCATTCCTTCTGCAGACACTGCTGTGCAGGTTTAGATTTCAAGCGTCAAACATGGAAACCAAGGCAGGATCCATAGTTTGCTAAGTTTGGGAGAAAAGCCTGTCTGCAAAGTCCACAGTCATAAACTGGGACTACATGGGGTGTTACACTTCCCTAACTGCAGTTTTTCTAACCCAAAGTTCAACATCAGAAATTAAGCCACAAAAAGAAAAAAAACCCTCATCTCTAAGCCATGAGATTATTCTATTATTTGGTTGGGGGCTTTTTGTTTTCTTTGATGTTTGAGCACCCCCTGCAGAGCTGCATATCTGCCAGTAACTCCAAATCTGGGATTCTGGTCCATGTGGCAGGAGCTCTTTCTGGGCATGTCTACATGTTCATTAATTTGCAGTGGTTACTGCACATTTATTTAGTAATTAGTACTTGTATAATCAAGTACTAAAAAAAATGCACAGTAGCACTGGCAAACGCCTTTTTAGTGATGTTACCGGACAGTAGCCTAAGAATACTGTGCAGTAGCGTATCAGCACTGTTTTTCCTATGACACGCTACTGCACAGTACTACTGAGCTACTGCAGTTAGTATCTCGTGTAGACATGCCCTTTGTCTGCCTGATGGTGTGGAGCCTGTTCACCAACCCCATCCTAATTCTGTGCCCCTGCCCACCGCACAGTCCCACATCCACCCATCCAGAATGAATGACGGACAACCCAGAGCACACATGGTTCTGCCCCAGGTGCATCGTGGCTGCTCTTCCAGCCTCAGGGCTTTCTCATCCGTCTCTCCTCCCAGGCCACCAGAGGAACTGCAGCAAAGTGCTTTTCTACCTGGTGCAGTGCCAGGACTTTGTCAACACCTTCATCTCCTTGCCAGGCCTTGGTGGAAGACATGATGCAAATTCAGGGGCTATTCAATATTCACTCCTTTACCCCCTTCCCAGGCCTGATTTCATAGGGAGGGGGAAGGTATAGAGAACAAACTGATCCATCTTATACAGGAGGGAAGAAGAAGCAAAGCAGCTTTGAACTGCTGGGCTTCTCGTGCTCCCTCCTCTTCCCCTTTGGGAAAGTAGCATCAACTTCTCAGTCACCCTCCTCAAAAGCTTCTCAGAAAGGAGGAAGGAGAGTGCTATCTGTTTCCTGAAGCAGCCCTGATTCACTGACTTACCAACTTGCCGAAGAGCAACTGATCAGAGATATTCCCCCTGCCCCACTGGCAAGGTAAAAATGCATATCACAACCAGTTTTCGATTCATTCCTAGAGGACAGAAGGAACTGTTGTGGTCATTGGGACTGTTCTGTATAAATGCAGGCGTTAAGACTGCTCTGAATTAATTTTAGTTTAAACTAAACCAAGAATTACAGATATTTTAATTTTTCAGTGGTGATGAATTCACCAGAAGCCTTTGTAAATTGTTCTAGCATTAATATACTCCCTTAGCCTTATGCCTCATGTCAAGGCTGAATTTGCCAAGTGTCAGCTTTCTAGCTATTGGGTCTTGTTATATAGCCTTTGTCTGCAAGATTGGAGAGCTCTCTTATCAGATTTCTTTAGCCCTTTAGCATGCTCTCGAAAAGTTAAGTCTTTTATGATAAGCTCAACTATTTCACTGTAAGGCATGTTTTTTTAAACCTTTATTCAGTCTCAGTCTTCTCCGAAACCTCTGCAAACACCAGGACTGGATGCAGTATTCTAGCAGTGCCAAATGCAAAAGAGAATATAAGCCTCCCTCCTCCTACTTGATATATGCCCGTTGACACGTTCAAGTACCACATTAACATTTATGACCACTGCTGTGCAGTGGAAGCTCACAGTTATCCAATTATCCACCATTATTCTTAAGTAACTTTTTGGAGTCACTATTTCCCAAGAGAGTCTCACAATCTATAAGCATGGCCTACATTGTTGTTTCTAGATAGATGACATACCAAGAGATCTAGATTAGGTGTACTAGTGACCCATATTTCACTACTTCACTATTTTCTCTAATCCTTGCATGATCAAAGCGATTTTACTATTTTCATAGATTTCATAGACATTAGGGCTGGAAGGGACCTCGGAAGATCATCGAGTCCAGCCCCCTGCCCAAAGGGCAGGAAGTCAGCTGGGGTCATAGGATCCCAGCAAGATAAGCATCCAGTTTGCACTTGAAGGTGTTTAATGTAGGCGCTTGAACCACCTCCGGCGGCAGGCTGTTCCAGACCTTGGGGGCTCAGACAGTAAAGAAATTCTTCCTTATGTCCAGCCTGAAACGGTCTTGTCGTAGTTTATGACTGTTCGACCTAGTCGTCATCCCTTGGGGCGCTCTGGTGAACAAACGTTCCCCCAGATACTGGTGGTCACCCCTGATAAACTTATAGGTGGCCACCAGATCACCCCTGAGCCTGCGCTTTTCCAGGCTAAAGAGCCCCAGGGCTCTCAGCCTGTCATCGTAGGGTCTGCTTCCCTGACCTCTGATCACGCACGTGGCTCTTCTCTGGACTCTCTCAAGCTTCTCCACATCCTTTTTGAATTGTGGAGCCCAAAACTGGACGCAGTACTCCAGCTGCGGCCTCACTAAGGCCGAGTACAAGGGGAGAATGACGTCCTGGGATTTGCTTGAGAAGCATCTATGGATGCAAGCCAGCGTTTTGGTCGCTTTACTAGCCGCCGCATCGCATTGCAGGCTCATGTTCATCTTGTGGTCAATGATGACCCCCAAGTCTCTTTCTTCCATAGTGCTAGCCAACATAGCACTGCCGAGCCTATAAGGATGCTGCGGGTTTTTTTTCCCAAGGTGGAGAACCTTGCATTTATCGGCGTTGAACACCATCAGATTCTCGTCCGCCCACTTGCTGAGCCTGTCCAGGTCAGCCTGGATAACCTGCCTGTCTTCTGGTGTGGATGCTTTGCCCCAGAGGTTGGTGTCATCGGCGAACTTGGCCAGTTCTGATCGCTTCTGACTCCAGTGTCCACATCATTAATGAAGATGTTGAACAGTATGGGTCCAAGGACAGAGCCTTGGGGGACCCCACTGGTCACAGGACACCACGATGAGTGACTTCCATCGATTACTACCCTCTGGGTCCGACCCCGGAGCCAATTTTCCAGCCAGTGGTTCGTGGAGGACCCAAGGCGACAATTGGCCAGTTTCTCCAAGAGGCGATCATGGGACACCAGATCGAAGGCTTTTTTGAAGTCAAGATATATGACATCAATCTTTTCTCCCTTGTCCAGGTGATAGGTCACCTGGTCGTAGAAGGAAATGAGATTGGTCAAGCAAGACCTACCTGCAACAAACCCGTGCTGGCTATCCCTTAAGATGTTGGCGTTGGCCAGTCCATTAAGGATGGCCTCTTTAATAAACTTTTCTAAGATCTTCCCCGGGATAGAAGTCAGGCTGATGGGCCTATAGTTAGCCGGATCCACTTTCCTCCCTTTCTTGAAGATAGGCACCACATTGGCCTTCTTCCAGTCTTCGGGCACTACACCAGAGCGCCAAGAGTTTTCAAAGATCCGTGCTAGAGGCTGGGCTATGATGCTCGCCAGCTCCTTGAGTACCCTGGGGTGAAGATTGTCAGGGCCGGCTGACTTGAAGGTATCCAGCTTCTCAAGATCTTCCTTCACGAAGTCAGCATCAATGGAGGGCAGGGAATCACCCTCACCCGGACTTCCCGGCCCTGTAGCGGGCATGGGCGTCCCATGGGACTGATGAAAGACCCAGGTCTTTCATCATTTTCTTCCAGGTCAGACAAAAATGTTAGATAGCATGGGGCCAACATCTGATT